AAAAGTAGACACAAGAAGATGATAAATAGCCAGTACAGCACAAGGAAAGGTGTGCAACACTAGAATCAGAAAAATACTAATCAGTACAATAACAAGATTGAATTGGCTGGGACCTGCCAAGGGGCTCCGGCACCAGCAGCCAGATACCGAGGCTCTATTGAGCGGGAAAAGCCTCGGCACTGGCACTGTTTACATCGCGGAGAGCCGCCTGTCTTGGTTAGATGGTTCCGGATTAGGATCCTCCCTGGAATACCCCACCATTAGTTTACATGCTGTTTCCAGGGACCTAAATGCCTATCCCCAAGAGCATTTGTGTGTTATGCTGAATGCTAAATTTGGAGAAGAAATAAAAGAATCTCTTGATGATGAAGAGGAAGACAGTGATGATGATATTGAACCTATTACTGAATTTAGATTTGTGTCTAGTGATAAATCAGCATTGGAGGCGATGTTCACTACAATGTGTGAATGCCAGGCCTTGCACACAGATCCTGAGGATGAAGACTCAGATGATTATGATGGAGAAGAATATGACGTGGAAGCACATGAACAAGGGCAGGGGGCTGTCCCCACATTTTATACCTATGAAGAAGGATTATCCCATTTAACAGCAGAAGGGCAAGCCACATTGGAGAGACCAGAAGGAATGCTTTCCCAGTCTGTGAGCAGCCAGTATAACATGGCAGGGGTGCGGACAGAAGATTCAATGAGATTATGAAGATGGCATGGAAGTAGATACTACACCAGCAGTTGCAGGACAGTTTGAGGATGCAGATGTTGATCACTGAAAATGATTTATGTTGCTTTAAGGTTCTGCTCATAACTGTAGGAGAGAACTTGGTCCCTCTTCCCTCTTAAGAGAGGCTGATGAAAGTCTTTTTCCTTCTCCAAAACTCACTTAAACCATTCTTCCTCAAGATAAACTATACTGAGACAGCAAGTAGTCACCAGCAGAAGAAACTATGACCTTTATTAACAAAGGTGAATTAGCTTACCCAAGGGATATTTGTAGTTTATTATTTATCCTAAAGCTTTGTCTAGGTAACCCACTGACTAGGCCTGTAATTCCTGCCTTTGCTATATGCATTGTCTATGCTAGCAGGCCAGTATGGTAAAAATGCACAGGAATTGGGCAGGAAATAGGATAAAGTTAAGATGGGGGGGTAGTTCTTTGGGGCCTAGAGATACCCTTATCACTAAAAGAAAAGGCAGAGGTCTCAGAAGGATCAATCTCTGTCATTCTCCACAGGGGCAAGAGTCTCACTAATTTGGGGCCCAGATTAATTCACACCTGTCTAGCTGGTCTCTTGGGAAACATCCCAGTTGCAAATCCTACCCTACCATAAAAAAGTGCTTCTGGGTAGCTTCTGTCCTTTCCACCCTGTTTTTCCAGTCTGCTTTGTTATAGCCTCTGAGGTTATCCTTTGATTTCTGCCTTCTTAGGTTAGTTTTCTGTAACAGAACAAGTGAACTGGGATAAGGTCCTTAAAATACTCCTGGTGATAATTGTTTTGTCTTTGTAATAGCTTAACAAATAAATCTAGGTTTTCTATAAAAAAAAGATTCAATTATACACTCACTAGGGAGATGAAGTTAAAAGTTTTAAAAGAACAAATGTCAGGCCGGGGATTTAGCTCAGTGATTTTGCCACCTGCTGCGCAAGTGTAAGGACCTGAGTTCGATCCCCAGTACCAAAAAAAAAAAAAA